ACCTCTCCAGATTGCCAAGACCATAGAAAAATAACTGAGAGAGGTCCCGCGATGATGTCAGCCAGCTCTCCAAGCACTCTGGGATGAATCTCATCCGGATGCATGGACTTGTATGGATCCAAATCTTTTAATTTCAACATTTTAAATTGGGGCTTGGCGTTTTATTTTCCAAACCCAATTTCCAAGAGGCATCAGCAGAAAAAGAAAGCGTTCGGGCTTTGTGACAGCATAGCCGTGTTTCTTAGTGTATCCAGCAATACAAGAAAATAAAAAGAGGAGATGTTTGGAACAGGAAGAACAAAACACCGCCGGTACTCACATAACACAAGCTGAAATGAGGCAACACTGTAGATGGCTAGAGAACTCTGAGAGTCCAAACTCCTCCAAAAGCTCTACTAGCAAAGATGAAACCTTTGAGAAAAATAAATAAATAAATACAAGGAAGACTTTTTTTTTTTTTTTGTATTTTTCCTTCTTATATCCACAATGTAAGACCTTCTGCTATAGCATAGTCCCTGCCATTGCCCTTGAAGACCAAGGTTTGTTTCCTCAGGAAGGCTGAAGTAACCAGCCATAGGAGCCAGCAAAGTCCTGTAACCAGATGCAAGTGTCAGTGGGAGTCCGTGGTTCTAACCAGACTCGAAAAGAATAGCAACTTGGCTGAGCTAGAAGTAGGTGAAGTGCGTGCTCTCAGGAGTCACGTAGCTGCCGCAGTTCCCTCCTGTGTTGCAGTGCCAAGTGGGATTCTATTTCTTGTCAAATTCCTTCCCGATGTGCACAGCAATGCCCTTCTCGATGTGCTTCGCCAAGGTCTGAGTGGCGCAATCAACAGCATCTTGCTGCTCCTCCTCTGACATGCCCGCATTCTTGATGCCTGCCTTTCAGACAGTCGCGGTTGCCTCCAGGGCTTCCGCTCGTGACACCACTGCTCCGCTTTGGGGGGATTTGCTTCCAGGGCCTGAGAAAGCTGGGGATGCAATCTCCCACCACGTGCACAGGCACTTTGCAGCGAACAGGGAACACAGCCAATACCAGCAGCCCTGTTGGCCTGTTGTGGTTTGACTCAGGTGGGCAGCCGAGCTCCACCACAACCGCTCTCTCACTCCCCCTCTCCTCAAGGAGGCAGGGGGAGAAAATACAACACAGAGAACTCGAGGTTTGAGGTGAGAAAGGATTAATTAAAGGGAAAGGGAATGGGGAGGAAAAAAGAAACAAGAGAAACAATAAGTCAGTGCGGAAGCACAGAGAGAGGGAAAAAAAATATTCTCTACTTCCCATCAACGAGCGATGTTCGGCCACGTCCTGGGAAGCAGGGCCTCAAAACGCATAGTGGTTGTTCAGGAGGAACAGCCCCCTCCCCCAGGAGAGCCCCCCTTTTTATTGCTGAGTGTGACATCAGGTGTTATGGAATATCCCTTTGGTTGGTTTAGGTCAGCTGCCCTGGCAATGTCCCCTCCCCATCGCTTGCCCACCCCCAGCCTGCTGGCTCTTGGGGGCTTGGAAGGAGTCCTGATGCCGTGCCAGCACTACGCAGCAACAGACACAACACTTGAGCGATATCAGTGCTGCTCCAGCTACGAGTGCAGAGCACAGCACTGTGTGGGCTGCTGCAGGGAAAAGCTGACTCCAGCTCAGACAGACCCAACACAAGTACTGTTTCTGAGAAGCTTCTTAGCTCCTCTCGTAGTGCCTGGACTGCGTGCAGAGTGTTATTTTCTAGTTCTCCAGTGAGTGAAATTCCCTGGTTCGGTTTCCTAGAGGATTATCTGGAGTCCTCGTAATTCTGCGTGCGGTCTCAGGGGGGCTTTGGCGTTGTGGGTCTTCAATAATAGGTACATGTGGAATTATTGCCCCCAGGGTGCAAGCTGCCTTCCAGCCAAGGGGCAGCACCTTCCTGCATTTATTGCCGCAGAGCCAGTACTACCCCTTGCCATTCGGGACAGGCCATCCCCTTACAGGATTCTCATGTTGTATCTGCTGTACAACAACTTCTACTGTTACTGTTACAAGTGTTACTCTAGAGTGAGGAGTCACTCCCTTCACAGCAATACTTTGTCTCAAGCAGATCCAATACTTTGTCTCAAGCACATACACTTACACATATACTTCCTTGCTGGTGCAGCTCCTGCTGCCTCGGCTGCAATGTTAGGGTTAGAGGGAGCATAACTTGATTCCTCCTGCGGAAAAGGAGTCTTATTGTTTACCTGTAAACTTGAAGCGGGAATTTTCATCGGACCTGTGTTGTGGCCAAAGGAGCAAAGTTCCTTTTAATGGCTTTTCAGGCCAGACAATTGGACAATATCTAACCTGTGCTTTTTTATCCTTTTCCCTAGTTTTGGGGTTGTTTTTCCAATTCCCTTCCTTTCTCCCCAAAGGACTAGCTTTACGCACAATTCCGAGGATTGTGCTTCTGAAGATCTCCAAGGATGGAGACGCCACAGCCTCTCTGGGCAACCTGTTCCAGCAAAGACGCCCTTGTGTTACCAACACTGTTTCAAAGCATAGGACCTGCTTCAGCAGCCAGAGAAGCTGCGGGCTAAACAGCAGCATGGCACAGCTGTGGCTCTGCTGCTGAAAGCTTCTCCACAGCTTGCTCTTAAAGCAAGGAGCAGGGAATCTTCCTGCGGCTGCCCAGGGCTTTCCTCTCACAGCCCCACCAGAGCCTGCCTCAAGCCACCTCTCTGCCAGCTCCACCGCCTCCCTGGCGCCCGCCTTCTCTGGGAGCACTTCACAGTGCCTAGAGCCACAGGCCTCTGGCTGCCCGGACACGGGAGGAATCCCTGCTCCTGCTCCTGCTCCTGCTCCAGCTGCACTGCCAGGGCTGCCTGATGGGCGTCCAAGCTCGAGTGCAGTCTCTGCTGATATGTGGGCAGTCAGGCAAAGAGCCAGGAAGCTTACGCGGACGACCGAGCAGAGCATCTCCTGGCAGAGCAGGTAACGAGCACTTGATGGGAGCAGTTAGGGAGCTAAGCTGACTCCCCTGAGAAAGACTGAGCTGGGGCTGAGCCGGGGGCACTGGCTGGAGGGAGACAGAGGTGCCTGCCAATGCAGACCCTGCTGTGGGTGTGTGAGACGGTGTCCCTGGGGTGTCTGCCAGAATATGGGCTTGAGGGCCCCATGGCAACCACCGGAGCATTGTGATGCGTACCCAAAGGCCATTGTGACACGGAGGGGTACCCACGGCAACGGTGTCCCTTATAAAGCCCGAGCCCCGGGCTGCCCACTCACTCTCAGGAGAGCAGCTCTGTCAGGAGGCAGCAGCTCCCCTGGGTGCCCGTTGGAGTTCTTGGTCAGAGGACCTGGAGCATAGCATGGAGCAGCAGAATAAGGATGACTCCCAGCCCGCTGAAGGGCAGCGGAGCGTGCAGGAGCGGCGCCAGGTGAGGCTCAGGGAGCGAGACAGGGACAGCAGCGTGATGGGATGGCACGGAGAGCACCAGGATGAGGAGAACGGTGCTGGAGCGAGCCGGCCAGCTGGCCCTGAGCCCCTCCGGACCTGGACACAGTTGTTCCCAAACCTGGGGTTTCTCCATGAAGAGCCCACCCCAAGGACAGCCAAAGCCCACGTGGCCCTGGCAGTTCTGTGCCCAGAGGCACAAAGAGCAGCGTGGCCTAATTCAACCTGGCTGTGCACAGCCAGGAGCTGCCTCCACCGTCCCTCCATGCGGACAGGCTGCCAGTGCGGTCGTGCCCAGAGAGCGTGCGTCACACTGGCAACTGCCACACGGAGTCGGGAGCCCCAGGAGGGTTCGGTCGAACATCGTTGGCAGCCCTGGCAGCCTGCGATGAGCAGGCAGCACTTGCAGGAGGAGACAGGCAGGGCATTACCCTGGCAGGCTGAGCCCCGCTCTGCATGGGCAGCTGCCAGGGCGTGCCGGGGGCTGCTGCAGGGCAGCTCACAGCAGCACTTCTAGGGGGTACACTGAGCGGAATGGCAGAAATGGCCCAAGTAACTTGGCCTTTCTCCTTGCCTTCTCTTGCAGATGGAGAAGAAGCCGCAAGACATCAAGACACTGCCTCACCGTGGGGTGAGGCAGGCCGAGAGAATCCAGCTGCCAGCCCTGCCGCCTTTGCCAAGGCAGGCAGCGACTCAGGCAGCAGCACCCAAGCAAGTGCCTGCGGCACAGGCATCATCGCCTGAAAGGGCCACTTGCAAGCTGCCCCCTCTGCAAGCAGCAGCCTCTGCTTCTTCAGGGGGAGGAAGGGCAAAGTCATTGGGAACAGAGGCCCGCAGCCAGCAAGAGCTTTTGCCACCTCTTCCCTGCATCTCTGGCAACAGGGACAGAGGCAGTGAGGGCAGAGAGGCGGGAACGTGGCCCACACAGCCCTGTGGACCCTGACGAGGACGTGGGCAATGAAATACGGTCCTTCGTGTCCACTGTCATAACAAAAGCTCTAGCCTGCAACTGAGGGAGCCAGCAGCAAGGCAAGGCTTTCTCCCTCAGGCAGAGGTCCCGGGACCAAAGGCCCCAGAACACCACCTCTCACCACAGCAGCGGCCCAAAACTGGAGGAGTCGGCACTCATCCAAAAGCAGCCTTGCATCCCCTACCGAAGAAATGGAAGACGCAATAAAGGCCTTTGTCTCCACTGCAATAAAAAATGGCCTTGCCTGGAACCAGGGAGCCATGAGGGAGGCAAGGCTTCCTCCCGTGGGCAGACCTCCCACGAGCAAAGGACACAAAACACCACCTCAGCCCGCAAGTGGGCCCCAGAATTTAAAGAAGAGCTGGCACCATGCCCCACACAGCCCTGCAGACTCTTGCACAGGCACTGCGGGACACAGCACACTCTCGCGTGTCTGAAGTGCTGGAGAAGACACAAAAAAACTGGGAACACGGCCAACGATCAGCAGCACTTGGGGACCTGGCACAAACGGGGTGCAAATTGAGAGCAACAAGTTCAGCCGGGGTCCAGACCGACCTGGAGAGGACGTGGACGACTTCTCTGCCAGGGCCTGATTCCCGGGTACGCGCAGGAGCAAGGGCTTCCAGCAGAGACCCTGCAGCAGCTAGCCCAGGCCAGGGTAAGAAGCAAAAACAACAGAGAGAGAAACACGTCAAACCCAGGCAGGGGACAGGAAACGAGGGGACAAGCCAAGGCAAGGGCAGGAAGGAGAGCAGTCCTGGGGGATGGGATGAAGAGGAGGAGATCGTCATCATCAACTCCTGGATCAACCCCAGGTTCGCCAGCCTCTTAACAGACCCACAGGACGTTCCCCAGGAAGAGGGCAGCGCAGCCAGCAGTGTGGACAGGGAGGCAGCAGAAGAAGCAAAACACCCAGCAAGCGCCTCTCCTGGCTCGCTGCAAACCACGGACACTGTACCATCAGCTGCTCCCCAGGAAGAAATTCCTGGGGAAGAGAGGCACAGCACGCCTCTCACTTCAACAACAGCAGCCCAGAGCAGGCCAGCAAGTCCTCCAGCAGCCCCTGCTCTGGAAGATGAGGGACACAGGACGCCTCCCCTGACACGTGGGGCTCCACAGTCAAAACCATCAGCCTTTCCAAGCCCCAGTGAGCACAGCACTGAGGTGATGGTTGAGAGCCAGGGACGTGCCCGACATGCCTCCAGTGCCTGTGATGAAGAGCTGGATGAAGGAGTCAAGACCGACCTTTCCACAGTCCTACGCTGTGCTGTAGCCATGAGCCAGGGAGCCGTGAGCAAGGCACCAAGTGCTCCCTCGGCCACAGGACCCAGCGTGCCTCCTCCCACAGCAGAGCCTGCAGAATCTACATCCTCAGCATCTGCCTTGGCTGGAGCACTGGGGGACCTGGCACACACGGGAAGCACAGGGAGAGCAACGAGATCAGCCGGGGTCCAGACAGACGTGGAGAGGAGGCGGACCACTGCTCTGCCAGGGCCTGATTCCCGGGTATGCGCAGGAGCAAGGGCTTCCAGCAGAGACCTTGCAGCAGCTAGCCCAGGCCAGGGTAAGAAGAAAATACAACAGAGAGAGAAACACGTCAAACCCAGGCAGGGGACAGGCAACGAGGGGACAAGCCAAGGCCGGGGCAGGAAAGAGAGCAGTCCTGGGGGATGGGATGAAGAGGAGGGGATCGTCATCCTCAACTCCTGGATCAACCCCAGGTTCGCCAGCATCTTCACAGACCCACAGGACGTTCCCCAGGAAGAGGGCAGCGCAGCCAGCAGTGTGGACAGGGAGGCTGCAGCACAAGAAGCAGAACATCCAGCATGTGCCTCTCCTGGCTCGCTGCAAACCACGGACACTGCCCCATCAGCTGCTCCCCTGGAAGAAGGTCCACGGGAAGAGAGGCACAGTACGCCTCTCACAACAGCACTGGCACAGAGCAGGCCAGCAAGTCCTCCAGCAGCCCCTGCTCTGGAAGATGAGGGACACAGAGCACCTCCCCTGACACGTGGGGCTCAACAGTCGAAGCCATCAGCCTGTGCAAGCCCCAGTGAGCACAGCGCTGCCGTGATGGTGGAGAGCCAGGGACGTGCCCGACATGCCTGCAGTGTCTCTGATGAAGAGCTGGATGAAAGAGTTGACACCATCGTGGCTGCAGTCCTACTCCACTCTGTAGCCATCATCCAGGGAGCCCCAAGCAAGGCAGCAAGTGCTCCCTGGGTCACAGTGCCCAGGGTGCCTCCTCCCACACCAGAGCCTGCAGAATGTACATCCTCGGCCTCTGCCTTGGCCGGAGGCCCTGTGGGGGAGGCCAATGAAGCCCCTCTCGCTGCAGCAGCAGCGCCACAAGAAGAAGGTGGAGAAGGGGCTTCTCCTTTGGCTGCAGAGCCTCTCCAGGAGCCCAGCAGAGATTTCCGCCCAGCAGCAGCTGACAAAGCAGGAGCAGCAGCCAGTCCCTTGGTTCCTGGGCACCAGGTAAGCACAGCACGTGCCTGTGGGCACCAGGCATCCAGTGAAGCCCCAGGCAGAAGCAGTGCGTGGGATATGCATGCCGGGAGCTGCCTGCCGCTCTGCATTTCCACATGGCCCAGGCACAAGGGCTGACATCCCTTTCCTCAGCTGCCCATGCTGTTCTTCTCCCCATGCAGGTGGCCATCGAGCAGGGAGGCCAAGCGCAGTCCTCCTCCTGCACCAAAGATACGACAGCAGATGAGCCAGCAACATCCCAGACACAAGCACCATCCCAGGATCTGTTGGCCGGGCCTGTTCAGCGCAGCGAGCAGCAGCAAGCACAAGGTTGGCAGCACCACGCGCAGCGGGGCTGGCTGGTCCTGGGCCACCCCTTCCCGGGGAAAGGCCTTGGAGGGGGGGACAGGCTCGCCCAGCACCCGCTCAGGCCCTAACCTACACCTCTGTGTCCCCCACAGGCATCCATGACCTCGCACAAGCCCCGGCACGCCAGCCACGGCCCTCCCGCATCAGGAGGGCACTTCGCGCGCTGCGCAGGGCTTTCCGCTGCAGCTGCATCACAGGACAGCGAGAGTAGCCAGCGCCCGGCTGTGCCAGTACCAGGAGGATGCTCGGAGCTGGCAGCTGGCCCTCAGGAAGCTTTGCAGCGCCCACGGAAGCATCACTGCGAGGCACAGGACAGCGCCCCAGGAATTCAGATGCCCCACCACATCCTGCCCCCAGCCTCAGCTCAGCTGCGGCTGCTTTCTGCTCTGAATAAAACTCAGGCAGACTTTTGCCTCCAGTGCTCCTCTCTGTGCCGTTGATCTCAGGGGAAAGAGTGGTGCAGGCCATGCCAGCCTGGCACCCGGGCCCAGTACAGAAGTACAGAATCATAGAATCTACCACTGAACCGTGTCCCTCGGCACCAGATCTGCACGGCTTACGAATGCCTCCAGGGATGGTGACTCAACTACTTCCCTGGGCAGCCTGTTCCAATGCTTCACAACCCTTTTGTTGAAGACTTTTTGCCTAAACCTAAACCTAAATCCACCTAAACCTCCCGCGGCCCCACTTTTTCCTCTTCTCCTACCGCCTGTTGCTTGGGAGATGGGACTGACCCCCACCGCACTACAACCTTCTCTGAGGTCCTTGTACACAGTGATAAGGTCTCCCCCAAGCCTCCTTTCCTCTAGGCTACATAACCCCAGCTCCCTCAGCACTCCTCACACGACTTGCTCCCTGGGCCCTTCGGCTGCTCCTTTCCCCTTCCTTGGACATGCTCCAGGAGCTCCATGTCCTTCCTGCAGTGAGGGCCCCAAAACTGAACAGGGTATTCATGGCGCGACCTCACCAGAGCTGAGTACAGGGGGAGAATCAGGTTCACAAACCACGCGATGCTTACTACTATACCATATATGTACAATTTTATTTGACCAACCTTTATTTTCCCCTCTTCCTTTTTTTTTTTAATTATTTTTTTCTTCATCTCTCGTGACTAGAAGGCCCGTGATTTATTTATTTATTTATTTGTTTGTTACTGATTTTTGCCCTGTTTCTCCTGCTTTTCTTAGTTATCCTCCTCATTTTGCAACTGTGGGACATTCCCCTTATCTGCTTAAAATACTTCACATGGTATGCTACTGCCATGCCCGCACAATCCCTTTTGAAAATGCAAGGTTAGTGGAATTTTCCACTGCAAGAACCTGACGTGCTGTCAGCAGCCTGCAAGCTCTCCTGATGTGCTGTCAGCAGCCTGCAAGCACACAAGGGGAGGAAGTGCTGCAACAGCCGTTGCTCACCAAGCAGCTGCCCAGCAAGGAAAAGACAGTCAGTAGGACATGTGTCAGGACACTTTTCCTGCCGATGCGGCCAAATTCACCTGAGAAAGAAACAGGAAAAGTCTCTTTCTTTCTTATGTGGGACTCCGGGAAGACAGGCAAAGTTCTCCGAGAACTGAAAAGTGGGCTTCTATACCTGGAGGAGCTCAAAGCAAAAAACAAGAGCAGCCCCACTTTAATAAGGAAGGAGGCACCCAGCCCAGGTACTAAGACACGCTGAAAAGCAAGAAAGGAGGAGCAGTATTTCTGGCACTGGAAATGCAGCGCGGGGCTTCCCCAACAAAGAAGATGGGCCCTTGTGCTTTGGCCACTGCTCATGGGAAGGTGCCAGATGGCGTCACTGCTGAGAGACCTAGAGATGGCCTCAGTGTCTGGGAGCTTCCCAGCTCCCTCCTTTTTGGCCCCTACAGAAGAGCTGGGCTAGGAAGAGCACAGCCAACACCCTCAGCTCCGGAAAAACCCTCCACGGAGTTCCCAACTAATAGGGAAAGCCTTGAGAACCGGCTCCGGCTACATGCTGGCTTGCCCACTCGGGCCACAGGCAACGCACAAGCGCCAGGCAGTACGCATCCCGTCCTTCTGCTGGAGCTGGGCTCTTCTGTTGTGCATATTGCCAGAGCAGCAAGGGGCCCCTGGCACACCTGCACTTTGCAGGCTACCGCTGGGGCGTTTCTTCTGCTTGAGGAGGCGGGCTGTGGGGTGGCAGCTGCAGGAAGGAGCAGGCTACGAGGGCAGGACGAGGCTGCAAAGCCCACCTTGTTCAGTGCGAACTGCCTGTGCACGTGGTGGGGTATTGCATCCCCGACGTGCCCAGCCCCTGGAAAGCAAATGCCCCAAATCCCCTTTCAGCCGTGCCCTGGGGACAGGCAACAAGGCCGCCAATGCCATGCTGCAGGCTGGCACGGCCTGCAGATGCCAGGCTGCCAAGCCCAACGTGCAGGCCGCCACGCAGGCGCCAGCTGCCAGAGGCTTCAGGAAGGTTCCAGAAGCAGCGGCAGCAGCCCGCGCAGGGGCAGCCGCAAGTGCAGGAGCCGCTCCTGGGCTCTGGGCTCAGCGGCAGACGCCTGCCCCTGCAGGGAACAAGGCCCACCCAGAGCCTGCCCAGCGGCATGGGCCTTGCCCAGACATCCTGGGGGGAAGCCCTGGCCGCAACAAGTGAGCGGGGGGTTCCAGAAGCCCCTCACAAATGCTGACGAAAAACACGGCTCACAAAGTGAGAGGCAACCCTGCAAGACTTGGAGCAAAGAGGCACTGTCTCTCCAGAGAGCACGTTTCCTTCAGCACAAAGAAAAGGAAAGGCCTCTTGGCTCTAGATGCCGCCCAGCATCGCTGGCAGCCATGCTGCGGACAGGCCAAGGCCTCAGCCAGCTTGTGGCGCGGGGGACAGGCAGAACTGCCAAATGGTCGCCAGGGCCATTAGAGGACGGGTCAGGAGCTGCCCTGTCGGGGAGCAGCTTTTCTCTCTCTCTGTGCAGTCAGGGAGCACTTTCCTGTAGGGCCACCACCGAGCTAAGCTGGGACCAAAGGCCACCGCTCCCCACCTCTCCCCACAGCAGGGCCCCAGAACTGAAGAAGATTTAGCACCCTGCCAAAAGCAGCCCTGCAGCCCATGCGGTAGAATCGGAAAACCAAGTAAAGGTCTTCGTCCCCAGTGTCATTACCAGTGCCTTAGCCTGCAATGAGGGAGCCACGAGGAAGGCAAGGCTTTCTCCCCATGGCAGAGGTCTGGCAAAGACGATGGCTAAAAGCTGGGAACATGGTGCCTGTGCTCTTGTTCTCCCCATGCAGGTTGCTGCTGAGCAGGGAGGCAAATCCCTCTGCAGAGTCGATTAAGTGCGTACAGCACAGATACTGACATCTGAAAGGTTCACTTGCAAGCTGCCTCCACTGCAAGCAGCAGCCTCTGTATCTTCTGCCAGAGGAAGGGCAAAGGCCTCGGGCACAGAGGCCCAAAGCCACCGAGAGCTTCTGCCGCCTCTTTGGTGCGTCTCTGGTGGGGGGAACAAGACAGTGAGGGCAGAGTGCTGGGAACATGGCCTTCTGGTGGTGGTTGCCAGCGTGGTCATGGCGATGAAGTCCAATAACTCCTCTTCATCACCACTGGTTGACCCCCTGCCTTTGTATGACGCAGCTGCTCCTTGGCTCTTGTCCAAACCACAAGGTCGGTCGCAGCTATTTTTTGAGACCCATTTTTTGTCAGGAAACAACTTCTGTGAAGGGCCTCGCGACTCCTTGTTTCGGTTAATTTGCACAGTAGTAAGCACAGACACTCAGCAATAACTATTTTTAATGCAATTAAGCAAGCTCCTATTCTTCTATCCCTGGCTTCTCTCCTTTCAGGTAGTTGTAGAGAGCAATAAATCTACCCTGAGCCTCCTCTTCTGCAGACTAAACAACCCCAGTTCCCTCACAGGACTTGTGTTTGACCATTCACCAGCTACATAGCCCTTCTCTGGACACGCTCCAGAGCCTCGATATCCTTGTAGTGAGGGGCCCAAAACGGAACACAGTACTCCAGGTGCGGCCTCACCAGAGCAGAGTACCGGGGAATGATCACCTCCCTGGTCCTGCTGGCTACGCTCTTCCTGATTCAAGCCAGGATGCCGTTGCCCTTCGTGGCCACCTGGGCATACTGTCAGCTCATGTTCTGGCAAGCATCAACCAGCACCCCCAGATCCTTTTCGGCTGCATAGCTTTCCGGTCACTCTGCCCCAAGTCTGTAGCATTGCATGCGGTTGTTGTGGCCAACGTGCAGGAATCAGCACTTAGGCATGTTGAACCTCATCCCATTGGCCTCTGCCCATTGACACAACCTGTCCAGGCTCCTCTGCATGGCCTTTCTGCCCTCTGGCAGATCAATGCTTCCCCCCCTGCTGCACTGACCCCCAGCAAATTCTGTCTGAATGTCTTCAATCATTTCTGTAACATGTGGGTGACCGAGCCCTGGCACAAGTTCCCAAGAGAGGCTGTGGATTCTCCCTCGCCAAGGGGAGATACTTGAAAGCCATCTGCACAGGACATGGTCCTTGAACACTGTGCTGGGTGGCCCTGTTTGAGCAGGGGGATGGCCAAGCTGACCTCTTCAGGTACATTGCAACTTCAGCCATGCTCTGTTTCTGTGAAATCAGAACACTACTTAGCTGAAGCTAAGGGCAAGAGCACTTTCACTGCTGTGGGCTTTGGAGGAGCCCCTGTCCTTCACAAAGGAAAACAAGGCTCAGAAAGGGCAGGTTTTTCTCTTTGAGAGAAGTCGCAGCAGAGCGCTTGCCCTTCCCCTCTTCTGCAGTCTTTGAGGAGCTCTCCTGCTGTACTGTCAGCAGCCTGCAAGCACACAAGAGGAGGATTTTCTGCTATTGCTTCTACTCAGCAATCAGGTGCCCAGCAAGGAAAGGGAAGTCGGTGGGACATGTGTCAGGACTCCTGTGGAGTTCACCAAATCCCTGTGTCCAAGGAAAGCTGCTCATTGACTCAAGGACAAGAACCCAGGGGCTGCTTCTTTCAGTTCCCCCCAAGCCTCACCTGGGAGAAGGCTCTTTTTCCCCAGCAGCCTGGCCCAGCTGTGCCTTCCCTGTCGCCCTGGAGAGTCTGGCTGGAGAGGGACTCTGGCGTGTGAGCAGCTGGCTCTTAATAGCAGGAGACATCCCTGTAAGGAGGAAAAGAGAAGGCTCGTCAGTGCTGCTCCTTGGTGGCCACACAAAGAAGCAGGGAATGAGCCTCCCTGCTTCATCCAGTGCTATCTGTAAA